TGGTGTAAAAATGAATGGGAAGACAGTGAATCTATTTTGTTAGCACCAAGATATAATTACGCCACAAATACACTACGGGAAGAGAATCACATACTCATACATTGATCATGAAGTCGTGAAGTTAAAGTTGTCCGAGGCATTGTCATTGTGATACCAAGCATGTGTCAACACAAAAAAATAGTATGATGATAAATGAGAAACAACAGTGATTTTTAAAAGTCTTTTAACAATAATTAAATATCATTGATTTAGTTTCACATTGGCATTACACATTAGTAAAAAAAATGCCGGCGGAGGTGGGGGGTGCAAAAGGTAAGTTTGTTGTGCGGACGTCCTTTGTGGACAACCCCTATCCAGAGCCCTGATTTGTGAAGGCCCCCTTTTTGGTTAAGCCTCTGCCCATAACCCACCCTCCCCCCACCCCCCGACAAGGATCGATTTCTTAACAAAAAAACAGCAAATAAAAAAACTTTGACATAGCGCCAATCCTGTCCCAAGCCCATTGTGCAATGGTTTCTGCGAGAAAACGTCGTGTTTTACCCTGAGAATAGCACATGCCATGCCATTCTGGAAACATTCCGTCATGAAAAGGATAAACGCAGACCTATGGCTTTGCTATACGGTGTTCTACGCTCCATAAGTTTCTAAAATCGATGTATTTTCAAAAGATTTACTGTGAGACTGAGTGTTGTGAATGAACCTTTGATATCGTGTTTACATTTTGCCAATGCATAGGCATAAGGCATAGTGAAAGCAAGATGGTTCAAGGTTGAAATACGACCATGCACAATAATGACATTAATATTCATAGTCATATGATATACTGGTATTTTCTTTGGGTGTTCGTAAAAATAAAATGTAAATATTCATCTATATGAAGATTGTTGAAATACAAAAGAAATCACTTAGTATTCATAATGTTTCTCTTATACATGTTACATACACTATACATGCGCTTTCAGAAACTTTAAGTTTGTTTTCTAATGTCTGTCTTATTACTAAATTTACCGGTATTTTCAAAGTCAAAGGCCGGCACAACTTGTTGAAACACACACACACACACATAAATATTTATATATATTTATATATATATAAATGTAAGTGTATTTAATATAATATCTAAAAATATGTTTAAATTGCTACAAAATATTTTTAACTAAAATGGGAGGAAAAAAACCTCGATCCCCTACTGGGAATTGATCTCAAAATATATTATCGCAAAGCGTCCACTCTACCACTTTACCACACAAGATCTTCTCTAACAAGCATATTACCTTAAAACAAGGCCAATGGTATATTTTTGCCGCGGTGTACCCAGGCCAAAGCCCACGATTTTGCTTGATACACCGCCGCGGTTTACGCTGGCCAAAGCCGATGGTTTCGCTAGGTACACCGCCGTGGTGTACGCATCCACTTCATAATATTAGAAAAGGAAGGGAAGGGGGAAAAAATGTGCTAATAAAAAAAAAATGACCAAAATGAAATTATTTGCATTTGTTGGAAAATCTAAACCTAACCTGAAACTGAACCCTAAACTAACTTGGGTTTTGACCTTATCGGAACCAGGGTTTTGACCCTATGGGAACCAGGCTTATGACCCTATAGGAACCAGGCTTTTGACACTATAGGAACCAGGCTTTTGACCCTGTCCTGAAAGGCGCAAGTAAAAACATGTGGAATTTATACACTGTCGTAAGAAAACTAGGAAAAATGAAACAAACACTAAAAAAAAATGGCGAAAAATAATTTTAAAAATAAAGATATAATGAAAACCCAACTTACAGTTTCGTGAAATACATTTTAAAACACTTTATAAAAGTTGCAATTTTTTCGCTGTAAGAAATGTCTTTCAAGTCTTGGATACAATAAATTTTGAAAGAACTTAGGCCTAATGAAGCTTCACTATTTCAAGAGTCTAGCAGCGATAGTGAAGAATCTGATAGAGACATTAATTTAAATGATGCTACTAGTAATAATGTTCAAGTGAAGAAGATAATAGTAAAAGTAGAGACTTCGATGAGAACGGACCTATCAATTCCAGTCCAACTGGTCCGCAAGATCATGGCTGGTCTGGGAATGTTTTACAAATCAAAGTGGAAGGGTCCCTGAATCTGTTTGTTTTGGTTTAACTTTTGCTTAAATCATTTATTTGTATTTAGGTATTTTTTATTTTCTTTTCTTGCTTCTAGTTCTAGTTTATTTTCTGTAAATTAATTAGATAAAGAACCTTCATTTAAAATGGAGTTATGCCCCTTTGCTTGGGCGCTGGTAAGGCCAAATATGCTTGGACTGTAAAGGCTTAAAATTTTAATACCAGTACGGTACAAAATATGTCATCAGCATATGAATATTGGTACTAATAAATAAAAATAATTCTCTAAAAATAAAGAAAGGGGTGTGACTCCCACTGGTAAACACCCAAAAGAGTCATGGCATTCTATCTTAATTTCAGCCCAAAGTTTATTTTCCATTTTTATGTACAATTTTTACATATAAACCTACATTCCTGGACTTTTTCCCAAAATTAAAAAAAAAATTAAAAAATCACGGCTTGGAGGAAAGATTCATACAGTACATACCAATGGGTGGTAACAAAAAGTACAGTGCCTTGTGACAGGATGACAGCAACCCTTCTTAGTTATATTGCGAATTAATTACCTCAGTACCCAAAACTAAATTTTACAGTTATTCTTTTGCTTTTAAATTCTTTTCAATGTGTATCTTGTCATTTTACTTCCTATATAATGGTTCTAATAACTCTAAGTCTGTAAGTCCTCTTCTTTTTATTAGTGGTGATGTGCTCACAGGTGAAAGAGACAACTGCTCAAAAAGAATGTATTATAAGGACATTAAGTTGTGCCATTTCAGACCAGTCTACCTTCAAACCCTTGAAATCATACAATATCATCACAATATTGTTCTATACCCTGTATTTATAGTAAAAAATAAACATACAGTATACATGTTTGCACCTTGAATAGTGGGTTGTATAGGCGGTGATGGTGGTGGTGCTATATCGACTAACCCTAAAGATTTGTGTTTGTATTCTGTTAGCCGATTCGTATACAATTGTAAAGTTTGTTGATATTGTTTTGCGTTGTCCCGCGGTGACAAATCTTCTCTGTTTAGAATGTTTTGCATTTGCCTATCCAGGTCACGTAAGCTACCATTTAGCGTGTCGGGTGGTACATATGGCTTTTGATTCATAGCCTCTTAATACACGAGGATCGATTAAAATCATTTTCTTGGCCATCGTTAAAATCCTAAGACACCTTTAAGGACGCTTACAATAGGGCCGAGTAATGCTCCTATGAAACCGCCTTGTTGGAGAAT